CCATGTTTATCTATGACCTCAAATTTGGTGGGGTGGGGATCTCAGGGAATCACCAGGGCAGAGTAAACAGTGATAGATATGGCACCCTCCTGCCAGCTCTGTTGTAGGAGGGTTCATCAAAAAAAACAATGGCCTCTGCCAGCACTTTTGTTTGGGAGAAAGCTGCCCCCCCCCCCCCCCCCCGCTTTCTCCCTGATTCCAAACAATTCAGTTCCTCCGCAAATGTCCCTGGTGCCTTTTCAGCTGCTACCCGAGTGCTGGAGCTCAGAGGGAGTGAATCAAAGTAAGTCTGTGTGCGGGCCCTTTAAGAAGAATAGCCTGGTACTCCAGCAAACTCCATCTTTCTCAGCCTCAACCCCCACTGGTTTTTATAGCCAGAAATCATGAGAACTTCTCTTCCCAGTACTGGAACCCTAGGACTGGGGGCCTGCTGTTGGGCTGATACCCCTCACTCCTCTAAAGCCAAGTTATCCCTCCTAATTTTTATCTGTCACACGTGGGTGTTCTGCATCTCTGCCCTTCCTACCAGTCTCGTTGTGGCTTCTTTAAATCCCTAGTTGTAGGACTTCCATTCAGCTAAATTTAGGCAGTTCTGAATGATGGTTGTTCTGTAGTTTTTTTGTTTTGTTTTGTTTTTTATGGTTGTAGTTTAGTTGTAATTTTGATATGGTTGTGGGAGGATGTAAGTACCATGTTTATCTATGCCACCATCTTGACTGGAAGTCTCAGCATTTCCTATAAGGCAGGTCTTGTGGTGGTAAATTCTCTCAGCTTCTGTATATCTGGAAAAGTCTTTATTTCTCCCTCATATCTAAAGCATTACTTTACTGGATATATTATTACTGGATGGTGATTTCTCTCTTTCAATAATTTGAATATTTGATTCCACGGTCTCCTAGTTTGTAGGGTTTCTGCTGGAAAATTTGATGATGATCTAATGGGGTTTCCTTCATATGTTCTCATCTTCTATTCCCTGGCCTTGAGGATTCTTTCTTTGTCATTAATTTTGACAGGTTTAATATATTATGCCTTGGAGAAGGCCTTTATGGATTTAAATAATTAGGTGTTCTATTAGCTTTTTTGATTTGAGGATCCAGTTCTTTCCATAGATTTGTGAAGTTTTTGTTGATTATTTATTTGGATAGGCTCTTTTATTCTTAGCATTTTGTTGAATTTATTTTGGGATAAGATTGGCTGATAAAATTTAATAGGCTATTAGTTCCCTTTTCACACTCTTTCTTCTGGTATATTCATTATTCCTATATTGCTCTATCTAATGGAGTCAGATAGTTCTTGTAGAGTTCTTTTTATTTATTTAATTTTTTACTCTCGATTCTCTTGTATTCCACCTGGGTCATTTCTAAATTTCTGTCTTCTATATCACTAATTCTTTCCTCCATCTGGTCTGCTCAATTTCATATGCTCGCTAGTTCATTCTTGATCTCATTTATTGAGTTCTTTAGCTCCAGAATTTCTGTTTAGTTATTTTTTATAGTTTTAGTCTCTTTGGTAAATACTTTTTTGTCCATTGATTTTATTTTAGAGCTTGTTGAATTATTTTTCTGAGTTTTCTTGTACTCATTAAGGGTTTTTTTAAAACCTCAATCTTGAATTCTTTGTCACTTAAGTCACAGTATTCAATACCTTTGTTTTCTGGAGATTTTTTTAAAATTCCTTTGTTAACTTGGTTATTCATTGTTCTTTGTGGATTACTTCTCTGCCTGAGCATTTGTGGGAATGGAAACTTAGGAAAAAAAAAATTACCACTTCAGTGTTTTGCAAGTTGATAAGTAGAGGTTTTTCTTTTGTTTTCCAGTAGGTGGTGCTAAAGCACAAATTTTTATTCTGGAATCTCTGTGGAGCAGTGTTACCTCAGCCATGAAAAATGCCCCATATTTCTTAAGGAGGTAGACATCCCCTTTACATTGGGTTGCCTCTGTCATTGTATCTGTCACTCCCATAGATTGGGAAATGGTGGGGTATGGGTCTTCTATATGTTCTTGATGCTGCCTTTCTGTAGCCAGAAGCCACCAGCCAGAGCTGCTCAGTCTGAGTGGACCCAGCTGCCTCTACCAGGCTATGCTGATGTGGGTGGGGAAAGGTGGACAGGGGCATACTGGTTCACGTATCTGGGACTCTGTTTCTCTTCAGTGGATTTAGACACAAAAGGTACAGATCATCACATCACCATGCTGTTCACAGACCACATAAGCTAAAAAGTTTTTTTCAGCTCCTTTGTGATCTGCCAAGTAAGGGTTTTACAGCCAGATTAGGCCACAGGTGGGTGGGGTGGGCTGATTCCCATTCTGCTAAATTCTCTGTCTGGTGCTGGTGGGATAAGGAATGCTGCAACCTGTTACACTGCTACTCTGCTCCTTGGCCCAGCCTCAATGTGTGCCAGCCACCTAGGCTCAATTACTGCCTCTGCTGTCGGCTGGGGCCAGAGTAGGCACCAGACTGCACACGGCTTCTGTCTCCATCTTCCCCTCACCCCCTGTCCTGCCTCTGCCATTTGCTCAGATATGCCCACATTCAGGCGTCTCAATGCCTGTTAGCAGGGAATCCTTTGTAGAATTAGAGTTGTCCAACTTGTAACTTCAAGAGGAGAGACTTGGAGGTCCTCTCACATCACCATGCTGTTCACTGTCCTACAGTGATTTTTGATTTACGAAAATATGCAGAGATGGTGTAGAGAGTTCACATATTCCCCTCACCCAGCTTCCCTTGATTGTGACATCTTACATAACCATGGTACCTTTGCCAAAAAATAATAAGAAAATAACATTGGTACAATACTATTCACTAAACTCCAGACTTTATTGTGATTCACTATTGTTGTTTTTCCCTTAATATAGTATTTTGTTCCAGGATCAAGTCTGGTATACCACTCATTTAGAAATAGATACTTTAAGAACCTTTGTGCTTATACTTAAGTGTTATCCAGAAATGTAGTTCCAGTCTATATTGCCACCAATCGTATATCAATTATTTTCCTCTGTAAAATTATCTTTAAATTCCAATGGGTAAAAAATAGTATCTTACTGTTTAGTTGCATTTTTTTAAGAATTTAAATATTATTTCACACATTGGTTATTTGTATTTTCAATTTTTTGTATCTTGTGCCTATTTTTAAAAGTAGGATATTCTACTAATCAAATTATTCACACTTTGTACATTAAGGATATTAAAATTTTGCCAAAGATGATACAATAATTTTTTATGGTTTGCCAATTGTTTTTTGGCAATAGTTTTAAATTTTATATCATTAAATCTGTTCTGCTTTATTTTTATGATTGAGTCCACTACTTTTTTATGCTTAGAAAAGTAGCTCCCCATTCTTATATCAAAAGTCTCATACATAGATATGTACAGATACATTATTATTACTTTTTAGACCTTTGGGGGTTAATTTTGATGTGTGAAAAGTGGGGAAAATGTTACTTTAATTTATAAATAATTAACCAGTTACTCTAGCTCTGTTTTTTAAATATTGTTTTCTGCTCTTTCATAGTGTAATGCCACTTTTATACACTAGAATACATAGGTCTGTGCTTTCTATTTTATTTCATTTGTTAATTATGCTGTTAGTACAAAACAGTTTTATGATTCATTATTCTAAGAGATAGTATTTATCAAGTTGCATATATGGCAGATCATTTTCAACAAGGGTACTAAGATCATTCAATGGGAAAAAGACAATCTTTTCAACAAAGGGTGCTGGGAAAACTGTGTATCCACATGTCAAGGAATGAAGTTAGATCCTTACCTCATGCCATGTGCAAAAACGAACTCAAAATGGATTAAAAACGTCACATAAAAGATAAAACTATAAATCTCTTAGAAGAAAACAGATGGAAAGCTTCATGACATCACTAATCATCAAAGAAATGCAAATTAAAACTAAAATGAGGTATCACCTTACACCTGTCAGAATGGCTATCATCAATAAATCAACAAACAGTGTTGGCGAGGATGTGGAGGAAAGGGAACTTTCATGCATTTTGGTGTTGTCATTGGTGCAGTCACTATGAAAAACAGTATGAGGTTCCTCAAAAAATTAAAAATATAACCACCATGTGACCCAGCAATTCCACTTCCGGATATTTATCTGAAGAAATCCAAAACACGAATTCAAAAAGATACATACACTCCTATGTTTATTGCAGCGTTATTTACAGTGGCCAAGATCTGGAGGCAACTTAAGTGTCCATCAATAGATGAGTAGATAAAGAAAATGTAGAACATAAATAGAATGGAGTATCACTCAACTATAAAAAAGAATGAAATCTTGCCATTTCCAACTACATGGATGGACCTAAAGGATATTATGCTGACTGAAATAGGTCAGACAAAGAAAGACTAATACCATACGATTTTACATATGAAATCTAAAAAGCAAAATAAACAAAACCGAAACTACCTCATGGATAAAGATAAATTGATAGTCACCAGATGGGAGAGGGGTTGGGGCGATGAGTGAAAAAGGTAAAAGGGTTTAAGAAGTACAAATTGTCACTTATAAAAACAGTCACAGGGATGTAAAGTACAGCTTAGGGAATAGAGTCAATACTGTAACTATATGTAGTGTCAGACGGGTACTCGACTTATCGGAGTGATCACATCATAAGATATATAAATGACTAGGCACTATGTTGTATATCTGAAACTAGTATAAAATTGTATATCAACTGTAATTGAAAAATTAATTTTAAAAAATAAATTTAAAAAAATGCTTTGCCACAAGAGCTTGTTTAGGTTCATCCTTTCCTTAAATAATGCTGGACTTCAACTTGGCAAATAAGAAACTTGGGCTGTGATACAGTTGTGAGAGTAAGTGTATTACCCAACTGTCTAAATGCTTATATAATACTGTGTCTATCGCTTTCTTTTTGGAGGTTTACTCCCTCTCCATTTCCTAACTTGACATCTGGTAAAACAGAATTTGGTTTAGCAGTTAAAATAAAACAAGAAACAAACAAAAAAAAACACATGAGACTATCAAAGCGAAACTAAAATGTTTAATAAAAGCATAAAAATTATGCTAAAGATGAAGACTAAAAATTAGATATTAGGAAAATTTATAAAACAAAGTACTACAGTTTTTACATTTCAACAAATCATAAAGTATAAAATCATAAAATGTCAACATGTGCAAGGAAAGCATTACTTGCCTTTTTGGTGACTAGCCATATAAAGCTGTTTTTAAAGTGCTACACTGTGAGATATTATATTTAAGAGTTTAATAAACATCTGATTTCAACATACTCACACATAAAACACTTTTTCCCCTCAAGTAAGCTATGAACTGTTTTGTTAGGAAAGTTGAAATTAAGCATGTATAAAATTAAGGAGTAATAAACTTGTTAATCCCAAATTACTAGTGCAATTCAAAAGCCTAAAAAATTCCAGATCAGGAACAAACTGTCCTGCTCAAGGTGCACTTTAATCCACACATGTATCTTATCTAAAATCCATACCACAGCCTCTCCATCTACTTACAGTTTGTTCCTGGGCACTTCATTTATTAGTTGTGTTTTCTTTTTTAATTAAGAAAAAATCCTCGAGGCACCTAAAGATTAGCCTGTGTTTCATTTGTCCATATTGAAAATGCAGAGGGGTAAACTGCTAGGGATCAAGTGGTGGCAGTACAGAGAAGTGGTTTAGAGAGACTGGCACAAAGACTGGTAAATTTGAAATGAACCTTTTCACTAGGTACCTAAACATCTACGCTTTGGCTTTATCGGCTACAAAATGGCATCCTCTTAATAATCTGTAAGCATTATGTATGCCTACATGTAAAGCATTGAATATGGTACCAGCAGAAGGAAAAGCTAAAAAATAGAGTTGTTTATATTATTATCATGATTACTTCTATGTAAGGAAGGAGTACTATGGATAAATAAAGGAAAAGGCTCACCATTCTTTGGACTGTGTTCTCACTGGGAGCAATACTGGCATACTGGGCAGGACAGTTCTTGTACAGAATTGCTCAGACCTTTGGCATCCAGGCCTTAAGGCAGCAAAAGGCCAGTAGCACCCCCATCGTTGTGATAACCAAAAATACACCCATACATTTCCAAACACCCCCTGAAAGAGACCGTTACCTTTCTTGAGAACTGCTCTTCTTGAGGGGCTTTCTTTATTAAGAAACAATTTAGTTATTTTAATACAAATAAGAATTTCTTACTGTCTTTGATGGTGTTTAAGGATAAGATACATTAGGCCTGGTGGCAGGGAGAATAGGAAAGAATTCACTACAACCGGAATCCTAGTATCAGAATTCCCAAGCTCACTATTTAGGACTCAAGTCAAAAGGTAGAGCTATATCTTTGCAAGTAAACTCAGCAGGAAGGAATTCTGCCATGAAGCCACATCTTCAGCTAGTCTGACTCTTATGTAGTTGAAATGGAAGGTAGACATATAAATTCAGACTATGACCTTTCCTCAGCATTACTGGACCAGGGTCCACTTCCTCCCATGTCTACAAAAAGTAAAAACTAAAATCATAAAAAGATTAACAAGAACAACCCCCACCCCACTCCACCCCTCAACTGGCATAAGATCTGTGGCACAGACTTGTTTCAGACCTTCTAGTCCTAAATTTGTTCTTCAGAACTTAACAGTGTTTTGGTGATGCTAGGAAAGATATAGGGCATTTGACCTTCGTTAGTGCTGAGAGAGAGAAGGCAAGTTTTGTTACCACATGAAATGACTAAGGCACTGAGATGAGAGGAAATGCTCACTGGTAGAAGCCACTGGGAATAAAATCCAAATCTCCTGCTTCCCAATCCAGTCCTCTAGTCCCATTCCCTAAATCACAGACAAGCGTTACTAAAATGGCTGAAGTATCCTGCTGAGGAGCCCCGAGATGAAAGCTTCCATATGTTCTACCCTCTTTTTAGTCTCCAACCTGAGCCTACCCTGGATCCACTAAATTGCTGGATCCGCTGTCAAGTGTAGAAAGAAGAATGTGTTTAGAAAGACATGTATTTACATCCTGTTCACCATCTCCTTTCAGAGATGTTCTTTATCTCTTTGAAATGATTATATTAAATGGATGCGGGGCTAAAGTTAGACCGTATTTCCCCGTCAGAAGGGGCTTCTGGGAATCCTTAGGTAAAGCGAATGTGAAACTTTGCATCAGGCTCACAAACGTCAGGAATAGTTCCATCTTTGCCAGCTGCTCTCCCATACACACCCGCTTCCCTAAAATAAAAGCAGGAAAAAATTAAGCATTATAATACCACCCCTTTTTCTGTCTCTAAAAGGACACATTTATATGCAATAACTAAATTGTCTTAAATACAGATATAGAGTTTTAAAATAAAACTGCCACATATACCACATGACCTCCCACAGTAATGCTGATTAGAATTTTTATATGTGAAGCTCACATTTTAACCCCTACTCATAAAAATCTATCTTCATCCTAGACAGGAACTAGAGACAGATCTGATTCTTGTCTCCTCCTGCTTCTGTACCTACTTGTTTCTTTCCTGTGCTCTTACCTGGATGATTAGGGAGAAAATAAATCAGATTACTACTCTCCGGAGTATTCCTTCCCTAGGAACCTAAAGGGGCGGCTGCCGAGAATAGAGAACTCCTCTCACCCACCAGCCATCAGTCAGTCAGAAGCTGCTCTGAACTCCAGCAGTTCCCTGGCACTCAAACCATCACCAGAGCAGTTCAGAGATGAAGATTCCTAGGCATATTTAAAGATTTAAAATCAAATTGCTTTCCTTTCGTTTTTAAAATCTGAAATGAACATAGCGGAGATGTATTATCTACATGATTTATCTTTTATATTAGCTTGCCCGGAAAGAAACATTTTTAAAACAGTACTATGAAATAATAAAATATTCTTTTGGTTCTACTTCATTTTTAATTATGCCATTAAGAAAATAAAGTTTAACTGACCTATCCCAAAAGGAATAAATGTTTCTCTTTTAATAAGTTGTCCTTGATCATCCAGAAATCGATTAGGGTTGAAATCATCAGGTTTCTCCCAAATGGCTGGATCTCTGTGCACTGCCCACAAGTTGGGTACTATCACTGTGCCTTTAGGAATAGTATACCCTTGGAGCACTAAAACAAACAAACAAAAACCAGTGTCATTCAGCATGCTTTTTACTAATAGTTCTGTAAACATCGCTATCTCAAAAAATACATAGTGACATATCGAGCTCTTAATTTGCTGAGAATAAACCTTGAGGTACTTGCAGGCAGGGGCAAGACCTTACTAATTGGCATCCCTTTCTCCATACCACCCCAGGATCCAGCTTAAGAGTTGTTTCAACTGATGTTGAATTAATGCATTAGATCAAACCATAACAACATTAAAATGAAAAGAAAACACATAGAAATCACAGGGCATACCAGGTAAACTTTCCCAAAGAATAGAAATTCCTAATACTTGTATAAAACTTTATATTTACAGTCTTTTATGTCCACACAATAATACGATGAGAAAGGTAACTAAGGTAAAGGGATATACAGGGAAGTCAGCATTGCCTCTTAATCGGCTAAAAAATCCATGTGCATTTTAAGTGATGCCCAAAAGATATTGCACACGCAGTGAATTTAATTTGTACCAAAGAAACTGTTAAATGATCTAATGCCGTTCATCAGTGATTGCCTCCTACAACAGTTTCATGACTAATTTAAGCCCACTACATCATGAGCTGTCTCCCAGGAGGTGAATTCCTTGTTACGAGGGAATCTGAGTGCCTATACAGGGTGGGCAAAAGCCAGGTTTACTGTTGGAGTTCGTGAAACACAATTTATTCCAATGTTATTGTTTATTAATTGTTGTATTATTTTTCATATGAACAACTGTAAACCTACTTTTTCCCCACCCTGTATATCAAGGGCATAATCAAAAGGACACATTTCACTGTGAGAGGTTGAAACAGGTATCCTTAGAATCAATAGGGCTCTTCTAACTCTTTAATATTTATGCTTCACTTGCAGAATTGTAACAACTGAAGTAGGATAATTCCAAGTTAACACCTTGCTGGCCAGCTATTTGGAGCCAGAACTTGCTCGTGTGGCCAGCTACTTTTAGTAGTTTTGGCAACCCATGGCTCTCCCTCATTGTTCCACAAACTAGTGTTTTGTTCTTCAATAATATAGTTCGGCTGTAGACATGCTATTTTAGTAATTATCTTGGTAAATTTGATGCCAAGAACCAAGGAAAGGCCATAAGACAGATAATATAATCTGTTGTATTTTTTGCCTTCACCCATATATATCTTGAAGTTGCAAATAGAGCCACTCTCACTTTCACAAAGCATCCTTACTAAAATTCCACATTTTATTATTTTTGCCGGATAATACGTCTTGAATCTGATGCATCCTCTCCGTGGAATCGTTGCTTTATTGAGTGATAACTGCTGTTTGGGTACATATAAAGATTTACATTTCGAGATAAAGTGATCCGTGAAGACGGTCTATGTTACATGTTGTTTGTGAATTATCATTCAGACGAAAGAATGTAAGTATTTACTCGAACCTCTTTCTATAAACATAGTTTTTGGAACTATGGGTGATTCAAGTAAAGGATCGGTTGAACAGTAATCTTTTCATTCTGGCTTCTTTGTTTGTCCCATCAATATAATTAAACCAAGAAACTTCTGTATATTCATATAAGTAACATCCATCTATGGTGAAGTTTTAGCAGATATTTTTGTGGTATTTTTCCATGTGCTAATGTATAAATTAGTTTGAGAAGTAATGAGATTGAAAAAATTCTTATCAAAAATAAATTGGTTACTTCACTTATACTTTATGGGTCTTCAGATTGAACAGTTATGCCTGAAATATTTGTATAATTCTCCAGGTAAAATGTCTTTTTCTGCCCATTCTTCTTCAGAATCTCTTTCACTGTTGGATACTATCACGTTTCTTTTGCCTTCATGATGGTCTAATGTTAAACTCATTACTATCTTCTGACAAGGTACTATCTTCCAGCTGACTACCAAAGTCACTCGGCCAATCAGACGCGGTGTCTGCACATCATTCACTCTAACATTCTTCTCTGCCATGACAAGTCTTTTTTAAACCTTTTGCCATAATAAAAGGTGGATGGAAAGAATTTGATGTATTTCTCATCATAACTGGTGAGTTGAGGAAAAGACACGCATAGCAAGGAGGAAAACTAGGCACGGCTGAAATAAGTGCCGAGCAGTGAATTGGCTTGTATCTCCCACCTCTTATAATCTGAGCCTAAACAAACATAACTAAGAAAACAGTCCAGAGTGCTCTTTTAAAATTCTACATTGCTTTCAGACCTTAAAATTACTTCATGTGAGTGGAAACACAAGTATACTCATAACCGGTAAAAAAGGTGGTGTTAAAACCCTTAATTCCATATTTAGACTAGCTCTTCTGACCCCTAAGAAGAGGACGGAGAGGTGGGTGCCTTTGTCAATGCTAGAGTTTATTCTGTCCAGGCAGCCACTGCATATGGCAGCTTAATTTGTTTGTGACCATTGTGGGCATCTGTGCTCTGAAGAGCAAGCCATTTACAAAACAAGCTGTGTAGAATGCCAGTACAACAAATACTGGACCACTGTCTGCTGAAGCATCCCCTGGACATTTGACTGTCCATGATGCAGTGCTAAGCCATTGGGAGGATCAAGGTAGGTGACAGTCACCATACCCTCACCTCAACTTCCCTGGGCTGGGCTTCCCATTCAAAGGTGGAAGTTCTAGACTTGCCTGTTTTCTCCGAGGTCATATGTGGAATGGAAAGCGGCACTACCATAGTCAACCTCTGCACCTCCATGATGGTGGCTTCTGTGTAGGGCATCTGGGCCTTGTCAGTGAAGGAAGGGACTCGGTCAGCACCAATGGCCCTTTCAATTTCCTCGTGGACCTTTTCTATACAAAAAGAGAATAAACCAGAAGACCAGTCACTAGTAAGTTGAGACTTCCCTCCTACGCCACTTACCATCACCTTGTACACACAGCTGGCAATGTAGCAGTACAGGCCTGATTCCGCCTGAGTGAAGTGAAGCACTGATCAGATATTCCAAGTGGAGCCAGCTAGCCCCTGTACACTCTGTGACTCTGAAGGATATCAGAACAGATAGAGGGGCGAAGGAGCAAGCACTCTGTATTCAGGAGTACTCTGAATCATTCTCTCATGTGAACACTGGACTATCTAAGCTTTTACTGGTATATGTGACAATATATGGTAGCCCATCAAAGCTCCTAGTGATCTCCGTGCCTCTTGGTTTACACATTCACTTTTTAAAAATTGATTTTTAGAGAGAGAAACATAGATGTGAGAGCGAAACATCTATTGGCTGCCTCTGGCACATCCCCTACTGAGGATGGAGCCCGCAACCTGGGCTTGTACCCTGACCTGGAATCAAACCAGCAGCCTTTTGGTGCATGGGACAATGCCCAACTAACTGAGCCACACCGGCCAAAGCTTGGTTTACACATTCTTACGCAGTCCCCTCCCACCTTGTACTAAGTTGGTCTGAGTGACCAACAGAGTAAAGGAGGGGTTGACATGTCAGTTCTGAACTTAGGTTATAAAAGACACTGTGGCTCCTGTCTTGGCCATTCACTCTCTCTAGGGTCAAGTCAAGCAGCCCTAGGGGAAGGTCCAAGTGGTAAGACCTGCAACCAATAGTCAAGTGAATGAGCCATCTTGGAAGTGGGTCCTTCATTCCCAGTCAAGTTTATAGATGACTGCAACCCCAGCCAGATTTGACTACATCATGAGAAATCTTAAGCCAGACCATCCAGGCTAAGCCACTCCTGGATTCCTGATCCTCAGAAACTTTGTGAGATATTATTTTAAGATGCTAAATTTTGGGATAATGTATTACTCAGCAATAGATTAACTAATACAGATAGGCACAATCCTGTCTGTAGTAGGCAGAAAAAAAACACAAAAAATCCTCAAAGATGTCTATAAGCTAATCCCCTGAAACCTGTGAACATTCTGCCTCGCCTGGCAAAAGAGACTGCAGATGTGATTAAACTAAGGATCCTGCAGTGGAGAGATTATCCTGGATTTTCTGGGAATGCCCAGTCTAATTACATGGGTTTTTTAATTAGAGAACTTTTCCCAGTTGAATTTGGAGTCAGAAGGAAATGGGACTACAGATGAGTGGTCAGAGAGATGCAATATTTCTGGCTTTGAAGATGGAGAAAGAGGGCCATGAGCCAAGGAACCTAGAAATGGATTCTCCACTAGAGCCTCCAAGAAGGAATGCAGCCCTGTCAGTCTCTTGATTTTAGCCCAGTGAGACATGTGTCAGACTTCTAATGTGCAGAACTAGAAGATAACAAACTCGTGTTGTTTTAAGTTGCTAAGTATATAGTTATTTGTTAAAGGAACAACAGAAAACTAATACACTCTCTTCCCCTGTGTTCTTCCACTATGAACTGCCCCTGGCATTCACTGCCTGTTGCTATTGATGTAGTGGAACTAGCTGTGTGAGCCTGTGAAAGTCACATAACTTCTCTGGGCCTCTGTTCTCCATTTTAAAAACAAGATGAATGGGTTTGGATGATCATTATGATTCCCATCAGCTCTAAATTGTTATTCCTCTCTGAAGTTCTATCTTCATCACAGTTTCCACACAGAATCCGACCTGTAGAGATTTTAAAGCAGGGGCAAGCAAGCATGACATGGTCTAGAAACATGGAGTTTCACCTCTAATACCTCTTCATCGCTTAGTGCTAGGAGCCACAGGATCACCAAAGTTGCTGATCCGAATTTACATAACCTAATTTTTCCATGAATAAAGGAAACACCTATTAATTACCTTGTATGTCAGGGTTCAGTGACATATACAGAATGCACCAAAGCAAAGAGTTACTCGTGGTATCAGTCCCCGCAATGAAGAGATCACTGATGATATAAAGTAAGTAATCTTCATTAAAACTACTATTGCTATTATTTTTCTTCTCTTCATCCACGTGGAGAAGGTACATGTCTATGTAGTCCCGAGGGTTCTCAACGTCCAGAGACTCTCGATGTTCTTTGATGATTCTTTTAAGGAAATTGAGAACATCATTTTCAATTACTCTGAATTCCTTAAATGGTCCAAAGGGAAGGTAATAAAGCCAGGAACATATGTTGACCAGTTGGAGCTGGCTGTTCAGACAGACTTCTAATCCTCGTGATACAAAATTAAGCATTTTCCTAAACTCACTATTGGTGTAATCAAAGCGCCGGCCAAAGCACATGAGGCAAATGATATTGGAGATGGCATTGTGGACAATGGGGAAAGGATCGAAGGGGTCTCCTCCATGTTTTTGCATTTCCTCCTTCACATATTTGAACTCCTCAATAATCTTGGGCTCCAAGCTAAGCTTTCCTAAGCCAAAATGACGAAGAGTTGAATGAGAGAACTTCCTCTGTTGTCTCCAGACTGGGCCATAACGTGCAAATACAACCCCTGCAAAAGGACACACGAGAAAAGACATTGAGAGATAGCAATACTTGATAATACTCACCAGGACATGCCAGGAATATATTCTGTATTTCTCAAGTCACTTGTGCAAAGTTCATATACATATAAAGATTACCAGCCAAGACAAAGGATTAGCAAAATGTAGTTATCAAGATAGTATATGTTTCTAATAACAAAAACCATATGCAATTTGATTAGGAAAAAAATTGCTATACAGCTTATCATTATAGATCCTAACTCAGCGGTGGGCAAACTACGGCCTGCAGGCCGGATCCGGCCCGTTTGAAATGAATAAAACTAAAAAAAAAAAAGACCGTACCCTTTTATGTAATAATGTTTACTTTGAATTTATATTAGTTCACACAAACACTCCATCCATGCTTTTGTTCCGACCCTCCGGTCCAGTGTAAGAACCCATTGTGGCCCTCGAGTCAAAAAGTTTGCCCACCCCTGTTCTAACTCCAGGTAAAGTGAAAAGCAGTGAATTTCAATTTCTAGAGTTAGTGTAAATTTTAAAATCTTATTTTCATAAGAGTGAATCCAGGCTTTGAAAATATTTTATGCTGGATACACCCTTTTCTAAACATTCTGAACAGAAGGATTAGCATGGTAGTAGACTGCAGATGAGGGCAGGGATGATACCTGATTGTGCTCACCATTAAAATCCCAGCTTTGGGTATAGTGCTGGGTATAAAGGAGGAGCTCATTAAATAGGAGCTGAATAAATCAATAGCACAACTGTATTAGAACACTGGCCATCATAGTTTGAATCAAGTAACTGGCAGGTAATCTAAAATATCTGTTGTTGGCAACTGCCCTAATTTAAAAACATCTGAATTCAAGGTCATCCACAACTATATTTTACTTGACTTCACCTATGTTACACATCTTCCACCACCAGAGCCAACAGAATTGCTCTCAGATATTCCTTGTTTCTTGTCACTTTTTTCATCCTCCTACCTTCCATGGTGTGTTTTGTTTCAGCCAGTTCTCTTCCTTTCCCACTTTTTTTTAAATTAAATCTTTATTGTTCAGATTATTACAGTTCTTCCTCCCCCCCCCCCCATAGCTCCCCTGCACCCGGTTCCCCTCCCACCCTCCCCCCTCACTCCCCCCAACACTGTCCTCATTCATAGGTGCACGATTTTTGTCCAGTCTCTTCCCGCATCCCCCACACCCCTTTCCCCCTCCTCCCAAGAATAGTCAGTCCACTCCCGTTCTATGCCCCTGATTCTATTATAATCACCAGATTATTCTGATCATCAGATTATTTATTCACTTGATTTTTAGATTCACTTGTTGATGGATGTGTATTTGTTGTTCATAATTTGTATCTTTACCTTTTTCTTCTTCTTCCTCTTCTTAAAAGATACCTTTCAGCATTTCATATAATACTGGTTTAATGGTGATGAACCCCTTTAGCTTTTCCTTATCTGTGAAGCTCTTTATCTGACCTTCAATTTTGAATGATAGCTTTGCTGGATAAAGTAATCTTGGTTGTAGGTTCTTGGTATTCATCACTTTGAATATTTCTTGCCACTCCCTTCTGGCCTGCAAAGTTTCTGTTGAGAAATCAGCTGACAGTCATATGGGTACTCCCTTGTAGGTAACTGAGTTTCTTTCTCTTGCTGCTTTTAAGATTCTCTCTTTGTCTTTTGCTCTTGGCATTTTAATTATGATGTGTCTTGGTGTGGTCCTCTTTGGATTCCTTTTGTTTGGGGTTCTATGCGCTTCCAGGACTTGTAAGTCTATTTCTTTCACCAGGTAGGGGAAGTTTTCTGTCATTATTTCTTCAAATAGGTTTTCAATATCTTGCTCTCTTTCTTCTTCTGGCACCCCTATAATTCGGATGTTGGTACCCTTGAAGCTGTCCCAGAGGCTCCTTACACTATGTTCGTATTTTTGGATTCTTTTTTCATTTTGCTTTTCCGGTTGGGTGTTTTTTGCTTCTTCATATTTCAAATCTTTGACTTGATTCTTGCAATCCTCTGGTCTGCTGTTGGGAGTCTGTATAATATTCTTTATTTCAGTCAGTGTATGCTTAATTTCTAGTTGGTCCTTTATCACAACATTGAGGGTCTCACTAGATTTCTTGAGGGTCTCATTAAGTTTATTGGCGGTTTCTAGAAAATTCTTGAAAAACCTTAAAAGTGTGGTTTTGAACTCTATATCCAGTAGTTTGCTTTCCTCCATTTCTGTCATTGGTGTCCTGTTTCTTTGTCTCGGCATTTTTTATGCTTCGCTGTGTCGATAGAGTGGCTTTCTGTGCTAAGTGTCCTATAGGGCCCAGTGGCTCAGCCTCCCCAATTACCTGAGGTAGACACTCTTGGTGCACCCCCTTGTGGGCTTTGTGCACAGTCTTGTTGTAGTTAAGCCTTGATTGTTGTAGGTAACACTCAGAGGAATTGACCTCCAGGCCAACTGGCTGTGAGAATCAGCTGTGTCTATGGTGGGAGAACTTCTGTGCTGAAGACACCCTTATGGGGCAAGACCTGCTTCAGTGGGGCTTTGGTGCTCACTGAGTCTGCCCCCTGAGTGTGTCCCTTGTGGAACTGAGGAGTTGTAATTGGATGGTCCCACTCTGACCACTAGGTACACTGGCTCTTGATCTAAGGAGGTGCTAATCTAGCCTCTGCCTGAGGCTACCCAGCAGAAGCCAGCTGTAAAGCAATGCAAGTTGCCCTGGGGCCTTGGGCCAGCTGCAGTTAAGTAATTTTCAGATTACAAAGGGCCGGGCCTTTCATATGCAAAAGCCTCCATGCATGGCTTGGGCGGGGCGGGGTCCCAGGGGATCAACAGGGCGGGCGGAATGATCGGTATGCCTGCTCTCAGTCCTGCCCTCAAAGGCCCTGGCAATCGCTGTGAGCGCCTCTGAGAGAAAGCTGCCCTTGAGTTCCGACCGATGCCAGACAGTCCCGCCTCTCCCACATGAGTCTGGGTCCCCAGAGACTTGCCCGGAACTGGAGCTCAGAGCCTGAGACTCCCTCCCGATTGAAAAAGACAATTGTGTCCTCAGCCGCCAGCACTCTCCACATGCACCTCCGCACCTTTGTATTTTACTTCCACACCACACCTCCTCTGAGTCTCGGTATGCTTTTCTCTTTCCTTCTAGTTGTAGAATTTCCACTCAGCCAGCCTTCCTGTGGTTCTGGATGATGTCCGTTCCGTCTTTTAGTTGTATTTTTGAAGTGGTTGTGCGAGGCAGCAATCTCTGGTGTTTACCTATGCCACCATCTTGGTTTCTCCGTTTCCCACTTTTAATCTACTTTATTTCTGCTACCTTCAAAGGCATGCTTCATTCACTTAACAGATATTTCTGAATGCCTACTATGTGCCAGGAACTGGGATGTAGCACAGTAAAAATAACGACTGTTATTTTATAATAAGGTATATAGAAATTTTATAATTAACCTAATATCTAATGGGGAGAAGTTCCCCTCTCTCCTGCCACCACCTTGTTATTTTTGAAAATTGTTTTTCATTATCCTTGACTCTTTACTCTTTCATAAAACTTTAATCATCTGGTCAAGTTTTTTTTTTTTTTTTTTAAGTGCCTTTGGGACTTTGATTGGATTTGATTTATAGATTAATTTGAACATTGACTTTTTATTCTTTATTGATTAAGGTATGACATATGTGTCCTTATCCCCCTATTGCCCCCCCACACACTCCCCCCACTCATGCCCTCACCCCCCTGTTATCTGTGTCCATTGGTTAGGCTTGTATGCATGCATACAAGTCCTTTGGTTGATCTCTTCCCCTTACCCCCACCCTCCCCTACCTTCCCTCTGAGGTTTGACTGTCTTTTTGATCATTGGACTTGCTTGCAGTCCAAGAATAAATCCAACTTCAGTTATGATGTTTTATGCTTTTTCAAAACATTGTTGGACTTGGTTTTCTTAATTTTTCTAAAAAATAATTCTTTATTGTTGAATTACATATGTCCCTTTTTTCCATTGACCCCCTCCAGCTCCCCCCCCCACACACACACAGCCCAGCCTTCAGCACCCTATTGTCTGTGTCCATAGGTTATACATATATGTATACAAGTTGGACTTGGTTTTCTAATTTTTTTAATTCATTTTCATAAATGATTATACCTATAAATTTTATTTTTTATAATGTACTTGTATGGATATACTGGCCTCCTAAAATGACCCAGAGTGTGTTCTCCCTCTTTGAAAGAATTTATTTAAAATTTGACATGTTTCTCTTTTTTTCTTTGAGTTTATTCTTTTGTTCTTTTTTGGATGTAAAAAGTTGGTCTTCTAACTCATTACATTTCAGACCTTTATCCTAAAAAATGAGTTAAGGATCTGCAATTGGCCTCTGGGTACCACATTAGCTGTAGTTCGTAAGAACTGTATGCATGGCATAAATTTTCATTACAGTTTAAGTTTAAATTTTTTTCTATTATTCTCTTTTACCACCTAGCTCAGTTTGTCTCATACTGATTTTTGACAATGATGAGCTTGCTTTTTAGCCTGGTATGTGATCAATTTTAATAAAACTTCCAGGTAGTTAAGAGGAATTTGTGTTCAAGTTATTGTTGGGGATAGGGTTCTCTATATGTCCGAAAGAGAAGGCTTGATAACTGCAGAAATCAAATCTTCTGTATACTTACCAAATTTTTATCTACCTGATTTATCAACTATTCAAATATGTATGTTAAGATATCCTGCTATAATGGTGTGTTTGTCAATTTCTTTTTGCTGTTCTATAATTTTTATTACATATATCATAGCTAGTAAATAATTATTTATATCTATAGCTCTGTGTATAAGTTATTAGGTATATATATACCTAATATATAAATAAATTATATATTTGAATGTCCCTAGAAATACGTTTCTAGGAACATTCAAATTTAGACAATATTTCTAGGAACATTCAAATTTAAAATTATTATATCTTGTTAAACCCAGCCAGCATTGCATGCCCTGTCAACGTGGCAGGGCGGTTGTCCAGGGCACTGGTTCAGGCTC